AAAAAAAAATTGCAATTAGAGGGCCTGGTTACACCGCTGTTAAAACATGTGGTGGTTAAGGGGAAAACCAGGTACAATCTTCACTGCTGCAGCAAGAACTCACTGTGAACATGTGCTTATGGAACAAAGTGCCGCTATGGACACCATAGGGCATAGTGGCAGCCTCGCCTTCAAGGATACTTAACAGCCTGAAACGGTTCTGACTACAACGCACGTCACAACAACAGCACAAATCCACGTGGAGGCAGTGACTCTGGGGTCCCCTGTGAAGAGTCAGAAACGGGTCAGGACACAAGGTTGATGATTTCCTTTCCACGGAACAGAGCTTTAGAACACTAACAGCATATACAATGCAGAAGGAACAGGTGTGACAACAGAGTTTCATCCCTAAGTGGAAGAATGACGTGTCTTCCCCTTTTGGGGTCTCCGTTGGGACAGGCACAGCGCGTGTACTAAGGGATGATAAGAGTGTAATATGTACTAAGAGTGTAATACAAGTGCCAGACCAGGACAGCACCTCACAACCACCATGCACTATCTAAATGATCCTTCCACAAGATGGGGCCCGGAGCAGGAGGGAAGCTACAGCGGCTTTCTCCATGGACCCAGAGCAGGAGGGAAGCTACAACTGCTTTCTCCACAGAGCTGGAGACAAACACCCACCCCGTGATGTGCTCGCTCCGCCAGATGACCCTCTCAGTCAGCACAGAACTTAGCCACATCTTTCCCGTCCACCTCCTAAAGCACGGACTGTGTGAAGACGGTGGATTTGGAGCAGCGTGGCCAGGACACTGACGGATGTGGGATGTCTTGTCGCCCACCCGGTTCAGCTGTGACAATGAAAGCACGGAATGCCAAGCAGAGTGCTGGCACGGCTGCCAAAGAATCACCCAGAAAGAAAGCCAAGAGTACAACGGTTCTCTCTGTCCTGGAAGACACTAACAGCAAAGCCAGTCGTGAAACCAAACCTCTCATACAAACGAGATTGTCATCGCTGCATGAAAAGCATCCTAAAAGTTTACCAAAAAGGCACTATCTCATATTGTTTGCAGTTTTAGGTCAAACTTTGTAACTGTAAAAAGGAAAAATGTTAGCTTGGCTCTGGGAACACAATAAGAATTGACTATGAAACCAGAGATGTGTAAAACATTTATTAATTTAACACAAAGATGCAAAAGAGATGCAGATCCAAGAAGTCCTGCAGGACTCCCACATGCAAGAAAACGATCAACACCTCAGCAAGTCTCCTGGTGTGCAAGACAGCAAGACACGTCTCCTACGGCACATCACGGGGAAGACTCATTCTTTCCTGTTTCCCTTAGTTGTTTGTGCTCCTGAGCGTGAAGGAAGGCCTGGAGGGTGCAGTGAAGACCCTCGTGTATTCCTTCCCTTCATGCAGCGTGCCTGCAGGGTAGAGGCCTGCAGAGGACATGAGGAACCACCGGTGTCTGACTCCCTTGCATGACGGCTCTGTGAATGCTTGCAGGTCCCGTTTCCACGTCACTGTGCAAACATGGCCCCACACTCCCGACATTCACATGTGAGACAACTTCTCAGGCGGTATCCATGCATCAGGATCTCACGAAGGTTCCTCCCCTTCCATATACTCTTTGCCTTGTGAGAATCTTCATGTGCACTCAACTGGCCGGACGGTGAAACGGCTTTTCCGTATTCCTGACATTTTCCAGGTCGCTCTCCTGTGTCAAATCTTGCATGTTTACCGAGTCAAGGAAAGCTTTTCTGATCCTTAACATTCCTACTGCGCCTCTCTGTTCAACTCTTGTAAGAAATGTACAGGTACTGTGTACAGGTATCACGCACTAAAGGTATTGCCATGTTCTTTATAGAAATAAGATTTCTCTCCTGTGTGAACTCGACGTTCACTGAGTTCACCTGATGCCTGAGATGTTGTCCGCATTCTTGACGTTCTCAGGGTCTCTCTCCTGTGTGACCCGGAGGAGCCAATGTGTTCTCACGTTCTTTTCATTCCTAAGGTCAGTCCTAAGTGGATCTTTGCATGTGCAGACAGTCAGGGCGAGAAGAAGTCTTCCCACACTCCTTACATTCACAAGGTTTTTCTCCTGTGTGACTTTTTGTATGTTTCTTGAACGTCCCCAGTTGTGTAAATGTTTTCCCACACGCGTGACACTCGTAAGGTCTTTCTCCTTTGTGAACGGTTCTGTGTCTACGCAGATTGGCCGAGTCATAAAAGGCTTTCCCACATTCGTCGCATTGATAGGGTCTGTCTCCCGTGTGAGTGCGTCTATGAATTCGCAAATGCCCTGCATGGGAAAAGGTTTTCCCGCACTGCTCACATTTGTAAGGTCTCTCTCCCGTGTGAATTCGTGTATGGGACGTGAGGTCTCGACATCGAAGGAACGTTTTCCCGCAGGCCTTGCATCCATACGGCCTCTCTCCCGAGTGGATAACTCTATGTGTACGGAGGACGGCGCGGTCCTTGAAGGTTTTCCCACATTCCGCACACGCGTAGGGCCTTTCTCCCGTGTGACTTCTTCTATGGACGTTGAATCGACCCAGTTGTGCAAACGTTTTCCCACACTCCTTGCATTCATAAGGCCTCACTCCTGTGTGCACTTTTCTATGATTATAAAAACTGCCCGGATGTGAAAACGTTTTCCCACATTCCTGGCATTCGTAAGGCTTCTCTCCGGTGTGAATTCTTCGGTGTGCAGTGAGGTCACCGGATCGCAGAAACGCTTTCCCACATTCCTGACATGCATAAAGTCTCTCTTTGGTGTGAATCCTTTTATGCGTATTGAGGTGAAAGGACTGTTTAAAGGTTTTGCCACAGTCCTGACATGCGTAAGGTCTCTCTCCCGTGTGGATCCTTCTATGAGCAATGAGACTGCTTGACTGCGTGAAGGTTTTCCCGCATTCCTGACACTCGTAGGGTCTCTCTCCTGTGTGGACTCTTGTATGGGCAGTGAGCAGGGCCGCGCGGGTGAACGTTTTTCCGCAATCCTTACACGCGTGCGGTCTCTCGCCGGTGTGAATTCTTCTGTGTGAAATCAGACTCCCCGATTTTGTAAAGGTTTTCCCGCACTCGCGACATTCGTAAGGTCTCTGTCCTGTGTGAGTTCTTCGGTGTGCGGTGAGGTGAGCTGCCTGGGTGAAGGTTTTGCCACACTCCTCACATTTGTAAGGTCTCTCTCTGCTGTGAGTCCTTCGATGTGCGGTGAGAATAGAAGACTGCGTAAAAGATTTGTCACAGTGTTGGCACTCGTACGGTCTCTCTCGTGTGTGCACTCTCGTGTGTAATGTTCGTGTACTGGACTCTCTGAATGTCTTGCCACAGTCCTTACACTCGTAAGGTCTTTCTCCGGTGTGCATTCTTCTATGTGTAAGGAGTTGACCCGCGTGTAAAAACGTTTTTCCACATTCCTTGCATTCATGAGGTTTCCTCCCTGTGTGGATTCTCACGTGTTCATTTAGCCTATCGCGCCGAGAAAAAGTCTTCCCACACTCCTTACATTCATGCCGTCTCTCTCCCGTGTGAACTCTTCTGTGCACGAGGAGGTGACCTGACTGTCTAAAGGTTTTCCCGCAGTCCGTACACCGGTAAGGTCTCTCTCCTGTGTGAATCCTTGTGTGTAACGTGCACGTAGCTGATTCTCGGAAGGTTTTGCCGCAGTGCTCACATGCGTAGGGCCTCTCTCCGCTGTGAATTCTTCGATGAGCAACGAGACGACGTGACTGCGTAAAGGTCTGGCCACACTGCTCACACGCGTAGGGTCTCTCTCCCGTATGGGTCCTTCTGTGCACGGCGAGGAGAGCTGAGCGGGTAAAGGTCTTGCCACACGCCTCGCAGCCGTAAAGCCTCTCCCCCGTGTGAATGCGACGATGCACGCTGAGGTGACCCCACTGAGTGAATGTCCTCCCACAGTCCTCACACGGATAAGGTCTCTCCCCGGTGTGAATTCTTGTATGGACGGCGAGAACAGCTGCCCGAGTGAAGGCTTTGCCACAGTCCTTGCACTCGTAGGGTCTCTCTCCTGTGTGAACCCTGCCATGTGCCAGGAGCTGGCCTGCGTGTGAAAACCTTTTCCCACATTCCTGACAGCCATGAGGTCCCTCCCCACTGCGAATTCTTCTACGTTTACGGACGTCACTGCGCTGCGGAAACGCTTTCTCACTTTCGTTACCTTCATAAGGTCTCCGTCTTAAGTGTTTTCTTGTTAGAGGAGCAACTTTAAGATCTGTTTTCCCAGACAGTTTCCGTGTGTTAAGTGTCTCACCCGTGTGTGTTCTTGAATGTGTCCGGAGGTGTGAGGAAGAAGGGAAGGATTTTCCACACCTCTTACACCCATAAGGCCTCTCCACACGCTGAAGCCTCTGACCTTTGACCGTGACGTCTGACAGTCTAGTGAGGAGGGAGGGGAAAGGAGAGGATTTCCCACTTTCTGCAGATTCAGAGAGTGGACGCTGAAAATTACATGCTTGACGGGAAACTATGGGAAAAGGATTCATATAGATTTCAGAGCTTTCTGTATACACGTGCTCTTCTACAACATGCACCCAAAATAACGAGAAGGTACAGAAATGCTGCCCACATGTGTGACATCCATAGCTGCTCTCACCAATGCGAGTCCTCAGCGGGTTTATACGGAGACGATCGCTCGCCCAGCAGGAAAGAGGTGGAATTCTGAGGAAGGTTCTCCCTGGGTGGCGCTCCTCCATCTCTTCAGGTGGGTGCGTCAGAGTGTGACTTCTGCTAAAAATACACAAAACGCTGTGGTCAGTAAGTAGGATCTGTTGACCATACGTGCTGGGTTTTCCTCCAAGGAGGCCGACGTTTCATAATCGACCATCAATAGTGTTGCTGGCATTGGCTTCCTCAATGGTAAGACGTTGGCTGCCTCCAAGGTACTGTGTTTCCTACCGGGTTTAGTGTTGGGATCTGCACGAAACTCACCTCAAACGGCGGTCTTGGTTTCTATGTGGACCTTGTATGGCATGGACTCTTGACATTCTTCCTGAAGGCCTGCGGTGCGGACTTTTTACAAAGTGGAACGGTGTCCATTCAAGGGATGACGCGGCTCCAGCACACACGTTCTGAATGTCTGCCACAGAAATAAAACTAGGTTTCACACGGTGACACAGAAAGCAAGCAAGTAACACAGGACAGACTGCTGTGAGCAAACACAAACGTAGGCACATTCTGCAGTTTTCATCCCTTGACAGGAAGAGATTCAGGGACAAATACAAGGGTTTCTGATAGAAATGGGATTTCCCTGGGTGGATAAAGAGAAGATTCAGCAATGACATACGCAATCACACAGTCAACACACACTCTCACAGAGCCCACACAGCACATCATCCAGTCGAGAAATGGTATGAAAAAGACACACCTGTCCCCCATGACAGGACCTCAGCTGCAGGGAAGGAAGTGCGATTTAAAGGACTTTTCCTCTTCTTGTTTTTGGTGTGTATGTGCCACAGAGTCAAAACCAGGCGCTATCTGACTCTCTGAAAGGTTTGCACAGACAGTTGATGACACAGGAGGCGACTGCCCATCCTCCCTGCAGAGACCGGCAGGTGACCTTCCACTGCGTTCCTTTGGGACTGCAGCACAGCTTCTCTCCACGCGGCCAGCGGAGCTGCCTTATCCACTCGGTTCAGGTCAGTGCCAGTCTCTCAAGATTGGGAGGATTCTTCATACACTGACAATTTCAGGGGGGATCTCAACACAGTGGCCCTACAGGAGTGCTCTTCCGACTGCCCCAAACACTCGTCCTGGAGTCCTGACCTCTGAAGCGACTGTGTACACTTGTACAACTGAGTCCCTTTTAGCAAATGAAAATGTACTACCAGACATGGAAACCACATAAATGAGTAATTCTACACATGGCAATGCCAAAACACAAGTGACCATGCCAACTTCCTAGAATCTTGCATTCCAATTCTTCAGTCCAAGTTCAAAAGCAAGACTCATGAATTAATTTTCTGTGCAAGTTCAAGCAAGACTCATGAATTAATTTTCTGTGCCTTGAAAAAGACAGAAAATGTAGAGGCAAGAAGGTGCACTGCAATCCCACAGGTGCGTGGTTCGAATCCTCCAGACGCTCTGCTGGAGAAGGAGGGACAATCTCCTCCTGTACCAGTCACATCTGATTTGATGGTACACTCACACAAAAATAATAAATTTTAAAAAATTAATACAGAAAGCGCCATTTTTACCTATGAAGTCCAGGTGTCTCAAGGATTCCATCATCACGTCCCTGTAGAGTTTCTTCTGAGCGACACTGAGCAAAGCCCACTCTTCCCGGCTGAAGAGGATGACTACGTCCTCCAGAAACAACGGTGCCTGAAACACACAACATAATCTGCATCCGTTCGCCAACAAGAAGAAAGAATGACCTTGAAAGCCCTACACAACTGGGAAAGGACCCGGATAGGACAAAAATGCTAGGCTCTAGCAAGACCTACAGTCTTGCTTCTTCACTTTGTCACTCCACTTCCTCACTGATTACATCCTGTCCCTGAGATTCACCATGTCCTGAAAGACCCTGTGTCTGGGTGTCTAACGTTTATCATTGAGCTGTCTTTCTGAGCCAAGCGTTAATGATAGACTTTCTCCTTAAGTGTTTATCGTATGAGATGATAGTATTAGGATGGGACGCTGTTCCCAGCCTATGCGAGGCGGACGGAAGCTCCTGAGACCTCAGCGGTGTCTCTGTGCTTTGGGATGCGTGGACCGCCTGATACCCAATACCCAGCTGCATCTGCTCTGACCTATTGCTCACCAATCTCGGCACCAGCCTGTATCACCCACAGTCACCACCCAGCGGCTTCACAACCGACGACAGTGCACAGCACCCAGGCCTCACCCTCAGCCTAAGCTTGCATACCTACAGTCAGCTCCAGCTTTCCCCTAACATCGCTGAGGCTCTGGGAGCCCTTCTGGCGAAAACCTGAACCCAAGGGACATAGAAGGCCTAGGGCACAAAACAACTCTGAGATATCATCTCACCCCAGTCAGAACAGCAAAATGTAACAGAACAGCAAGCAACAAATGCTGGCGAGGTTGTGGAGAAACTGGAAGTCTTATTCACTGTGGGTGGGACTGTAAAATGGTGCAACCACTGTGGAAGGCGGTGTGGTGCTTTCTCAAAAAATTGCAAATAGAGATACCATGTGACCCAGCAATCCCATTACTGGGAATATACCCCAGAGCGACCATGTCTGCCATCCAAGCAGATAGATGCACACCCATGTTTATTGCAGCTTTGTTTACAATAACAAAGAGTTGGAAGCAAACCTAAGGGCCCATCAACAAACAAAGGGCTAGAGAAGCTGTGGTCTATTCACACAATGGAATACTACGCTGCACTGAAAAGCAAGGAACTCGTGCAATATTATGCAAAATGGGTGACCCTGGAGGACATTATGCTGAGTGAAATATCTCAGTCACAAAAGGACAAATACTGCATGGTGCCACTGCTGTAGACTGGGTCTGACATCAGGGTGGGGGTATGACCGAAAAAAAATGGATAAATTATGTATATTGTATTGAAAAAGATGAAGGAAAGAATACATTAGAGGTGATATATGATTGAGTATTATGGTTAGCACAGGAATCCAGAATTAAGGTTCCATAAAGAAGTGTACTCGGGGTGGGGGGTGGGGGAACTGTATACTAATGAAGGAATTTTTCTTTTTCTTTTCGGAGAGGGGAGCGAACTGGTGGGGAGGGCTGGGCAGGGAGGAAAAGTGCGGGAATGAATGAATGGAAATCCAAAACCTCTGTAAATGTCTATTAAAATTAATAAAAAAAAATTACTTTTTTTTTTAAAAAAAGAAGGGCTAGGGCATTGAACAAAGGAATGGTTGCCGATGTCAGAAATCATGCAGTCGGTCAAGCATGTAGGACAAGACTCACTCAACACTTTTCCACAATCTGCTGCTCACCTTAACACAACAAATTACGAAATTTGGTGAGATTTGCACCACAAGTTAGAGTCCCTGTAACGTCTGTGTTTGGAGGAAAAAGTGTTAAACAGAATCAGAAGCCTTCAGGCTGTGGTGTGACTAAGGGATATTCATGCCATAACATGGCTATTACATTCCACTCAGAAGGAAAAATTGAATTTAGGCTCTAAAGTCAGTGGACAGAACTCCTGAAGAGGTGGTTATCTAGCAACAGGCAGAAAGAGAACATGAGGAAGGAAGGGCACTTATCATGCCTTGGATTTTGTTATCAACAGTGGCAGCATATGCAAAGGAAAAGAATGTAGGAAGTGAAATGGCTGAAAAAGAAACGCAACAAGCTTTAACCAGGATGAGTGACAGCCTTCCATCTCAGGCTCTACAGGGAAAGAAAGAAAACCCACGTGGAAGGAGACGGCAAGACCGCTGCACGCTGTGGACACTCAAAAAAAGTCATCTGGGAGGCAGATGGCAGGACTGAGAAACTTATGTTAACCAGGGACTAGGACATAGAAGAAACACATCATCAGCTGCTGACGGCTCTCAGCCGCTTCCTACGGAACCAGCACTCAGACGGACGGCAACAGGGATGAATTTACGGGCAGCATCTCTGCTCCCGTGTGGTCAAGAACAGGAGAACGGTGTTATCGTTGTTGCTGATGGACGTCGAGTCGAGTCCGATGCGTAGCGACTCTATGAACAAAAGACCTAATGCCTTTCCTTAATTGTAGTCGTTTCTCCAAGTTCTTAGTGTTTCCAGAGGCTTGTGTTTTAGGAAGTAGATGCCACTCCTGCTTCCAAACCTGTCTGACATCTTGGAGCTCCTCCAAACCCTGTCCACACCGGGAGACCATTATGGAGTCTGATACCCCAATGGCACAAGTTTCAGCATCGCAGCAAACCCAGGTAATCTCAGTATTGCACACTGACAAAGAGTGACGTGTAATGCAGAAGAATGTTCCTCCAAATAGAACAACCCTAGTGTCAGTGAGCAGTGGTTAAGACTCTTGAAGTTGAATACAACTCACAGTGACCCTCTAAACAAAAGACCAGAGCTCTGTTCTCTAATTGACATCATTTCTATATGATTCGAGCATATACAAGGGTTGTAAATGACAATAAACCAAACCTATTGCTAATGAGTTGTTTCCAACTCCTGGTGAGACATCTTGATCAAAGACGACTACTCCTCTTTCTCCCCTGGATAATACCTTTACAAAGTCTACCACTTTGAGATGCTTGTGGCTGCTGTTGCTACGATCCGGTGGCAGGGAACGAGCTCGCTTCATCGTGACCCTGTGAACAACGTCTCTGAAACCTGCTCGATATCCTGGGCTCTCCACATCACCCCAAACACACTTCAGATTCACTGTTGTAGTCATTCTATCAGTCCATCTCTCTGAGGGTCTTCATTCCTACACGGACCCCTCCACCTTTCCAAACGTGAATTCTTGTTCCAAGGAATAGTCTTTCCAACACCATGCCCAAAGTCAGGGGACTGCACCATCATTGCCTCCAAGGAGCACTCTGGATGCATCTTCTCCAACACATGCCTGCTCGTTCTCTCGCCCGTCCATGAAATGTTCAATATTCTTCTCCAGCACCACAGCTCAAAGGCATCAATTCTTCTTCTGTCATCCTTAGTCACTGTCCAGATCTCAAAGAAATAGCAAGTGAAGTGAAAAACGATGTCTTGAATCTCGTACACCATAGTTTTTAAACTGATAGCATGACTCTTTAGGATTTTGGAGGGGTTTATAATGGCAGACTTTCACAATGCTATCCTCTTCTAATGTCCTGACTGCTTCTTGTTGTTGTTGTTATGTGCCGTCGAGTCGTTTCCGACTCCTAGCGACCCTATGTACAACAGCCCTAAACTCCGCTCTATCCTGTGACAACCGCACTGCCTCTGACACTCCCATCCCGATTATCCCAGTCACTGAATCAATCCACCTCATAGAGGGCCTTCCCCT